CGCCACCGCTAGACCCCAAAGATTGATTTTTTTCCCCCGCCCACGACCGCAGGCCATGCGAGGCCGGGACAGCCTCCTCCGCGAATTCGCCGCCGTCAACGAGCAGATCCAGGCCGCGCTCGACCAGCTGCCCTACCACGACTTCGACATGCCAGAGGAGGTGCAGGAGCAGGTGCCACACCAATCCAATTTCCTACTTCCATCAGATTTCACACCTCAATTCAATTCTGTTCTAACTGTCCAATTGTGCCATTGATCCCCATTTTTGTAGGTGGCGCTGGTGCACTCGCAGTTCAAGCGGGCGGCGACGAGGGCGGAGCCGGCCGACGCGCAGCTCGCCAGGGACCTCGCCTGGGCGCTCAGCGACGACAAGCCCACCGTGCCGGCCCTCCTCATGAGGGTCTCCGAGAAGCTGCAGCTCGAGACCATGGCTGACATGAAGCGCGAGTCCGTGGCGCTGCACGAGATGGTCATCTCCAGCGGCGGCGAGCCCGAAGGCTGTGTCGACGAGATGTCCTCCCTGCTCAAGAAGCTCAAGGACTGTGTCATCGCCCAGGCCCCCTCCGCCGAGGGTCCCGGTGTGGGCAGGTCTCCCTCCGTGAAGTCCCCCATCATCCCAGACGAGTTCAGATGCCCCATTTCGCTCGAGCTGATGCAGGACCCCGTCATCGTCTCCAGCGGCCAGGTGCGGCTGTTCCATTGTTATATGCAGCACTGCTAGTCAATCCTTCATCAACCACATTTATCCTAACGATCGTTATATTCTTTTTTCAGACGTACGAGCGGTCCTGCATCCAGAAGTGGCTTGATTCTGGGCACAAGACCTGCCCCAAGACGCAGCTGGCCCTCACGCATACTTCCCTCACCCCAAACTTTGTCCTCAAAAGCCTGATAGCGCAGTGGTGCGAAGCCAATGGCATCGAGCTTCCCAAGAACAAAGCCAACTCCCATGACAAGAAAGCGGTCAAAAGCTCCGACTATGACAATGCTGGTCTCATCTCGCTGATGAATAGGCTGCGGGGTGGGAACCAGGACGAGCAACGGGCAGCTGCGGGGGAGATCCGGTTGCTTGCCAAGAGAAACGTGAACAACCGGATATGCATCGCTGAAGCAGGGGCCATTCCGCTGCTGGTCAATCTGCTCTCCTCTTCCGATCCAAGAACGCAGGAACACGCCGTCACGGCACTCCTTAACCTCTCCATCCATGAGAACAACAAGGCAAGCATCGTGGATTCCAATGCCATCCCTAAGATAGTGGAAGTGCTAAAAACTGGGAGTATGGAAGCCAGAGAGAATGCCGCGGCCACGCTGTTTAGCCTGTCAGTTGTGGATGAAAATAAAGTCACTATCGGCGCTGCTGGTGCGATACCTCCGCTCATCAATCTTCTGTGCGACGGGAGCCCAAGAGGCAAGAAAGATGCGGCAACGGCAATTTTCAACCTGTGCATATATCAGGGCAATAAGGTCCGGGCGGTGAAAGCTGGAATCATCACCCATCTGATGAACTTCTTGGTGGATCCCACTGGGGGAATGATTGACGAGGTGCTCACTCTTTTGTCGATTCTTGCCGGTAATCAAGAAGGCAAGTCTGTAATTACACAATCAGAGCCAATGCCTCCACTAGTCGAGGTGATCAAAACTGGCTCTCCTCGCAACAGGGAGAACGCGGCAGCCATTCTTTGGTCTCTCTGTTCTGCTGATGCTGAACAAACCATGGCTGCAAAGGCAGCTGGAGGGGAAGATGCACTCAAGGAGCTGTCAGAAACCGGCACAGACCGCGCAAAAAGGAAAGCTTCTAGCTTACTTGAACTCATGCGCCAATCAGAAGAGGCATGAATCGGGCAACATAGATTTGTTCAAACGCGAGGTTTTGTCCTGGCTATAGCCAATTGTACACACGAATACTTAATTGCTTCTGAATAGTGTTGACTTTTGATATGTTTGTATCTAGGGAGGTCTGCTCAGAATTTTCTGTAAACACATAAATGGTTGTATACTATTGTAACTCAAAAAAAGTTGTATTTCTTGATAAGAAGATAATAAATAATTTTCTGTGTGGTTTAGTTTGCTGATTATTACCAGTTCAGGTCTCATGCTTTTTAAACACATTCCCATTTTGGTTGTAGAACAGGATTTTTAATTATTAAAGGAAGCGACAAGGAATCCCTTGGGTAGCTCTGCTTTGTGGGTGATGTGTCTGGTGGCTTCACTCTGAAGTAAGTTCCTTCTCAGAAAATTGTTACTGCATTTTAGTTTCTGTTTCCATTGTTTGTGTGTAAATCTCAAGTATGGATTACTAGGTTAATGTGGCTTAGCTTCTTTAGAGTTAAATACGCACATCATGCAGCTATATACTAAATTACCATCTAATTTATAGGAAAAACATTGAGCAATATTTTCTCTTAATAAGTAAAACATGATGGGACAGGATATTGGTATGATACGTAATCCATTTCGAGGTGAGGTATGCACAATCATTTTCTGAGTCAACATGCAGGGCTGTATATGAGCATGTGCAACAGGAGCGACCGAACAGGGCCCCCAACACCAGAGGGCCCCCCCCTTTTTTTGTTAATCAAGGTGTTAATTGAAGCATTAGGTACTTACTAGAGTAAAGAATCACACACACACACACACACACACACACACACACACACACACACACACAAACACACACACACACAAAAGGTACTAGAGATATTTTACACCAAGCCACCCTATGCATTTCTCTCTAATCATGATCCATCAGTTCCTCTCAGCTCTCTCTCAATCTTACAGCTCTTCCAACATAGCATAGTACAGCTAAAAAAAAGCAAATCAGGTACGTGCTATCTACAAGTCTTCTAAACTTCTGCTTTCAACTGGTGTATTTTTTTATGGAAAACTACACTGGCTGACAAAAAATATTATTGTTTCTTTAGTACTTAGGGCCTAATTTTGATTTGCACGGGGCCTCCGATTTCCCCGGTACGGCCCTGTCCACATGCAAGCAACCCTTTGTTGGGGGACGTATTCAGTGCATTAAGGATCATGGGTACAGTACTCGTTTAATTCACATCAATAGTCACGATTTTCTTTTTGGTAGAAATCATACACATACTTCTAAAAGTACTCTGCCTATCAACTTCGAGTATGACATATGTTAGGATTAAGAATAATTTTTTTTGAAAGTTCTGAAAAAATTCCGTCATATCCCCTTTTTGCCTGTAGGCTTTTTGCTAATGTTATCACGGGGCTCCTTTTGGAGCTCTAGTTAGTGTACTTGCATCCATGGGAATAGCATAGAATCTTCAATGAGCAGTTGCTGCTGCCTCACTATTCTCCAGTGGATCCAGACAAAACGAATGGTGTCATTGCATATGCAATGTTTTGACCATGTGGGATAGGGTGGTTAGCAATCTCAATTTATCAAAAAGAGTAAAAAACTGTTCGCAAACAGAAGATTCACAACAGCTCCCGAACACTGAGCCAGCTATATGCTGGAACGCCAAGAGAGGAGTGAAGAATCCATGAACTCAAACTGTCAATTCTGTGCTCAAAACAAAAGTAGACGTGGTGTCGATCATGTCACACAATTCGGTGGCACTGGCAGCTACTTGCAAGCTACCAGCGCTTTTAGAAGAAAACCGAGGGAGAAAATGTTCAAAGTGGAAACACATCAGAGTGAGTAGAGGCAAGATGCCAAGATGTGGCCACTGCACCAGCAGGATATATATCATCACCGCATTATTAGGATATTTGAAACACACAACATGTTGTGACCATAACTAGATGTCTAGAAAATCTTGTTCGCAGAATGTAGTCTTTTCGGTCCACGTCAGTCATGTCGTGGCACTCTTTCTGAGAACCAGAGAGGATCTGGTCGTTTATCAGCTTATAATAGTGTGTTGGGCATCGTGCTGCCCATGTGGGGACAAGTGTCCCTCCATTGGCCACCCTGCAATTATGGCAAATTCCAGCAGAAAGCCATTTTCCCTGCCTGCCTGAAAATGTATAACAGATGATTGGAGTCACTGGATGGGAGTGGGACATACTTCTTCAGCTGCCACGAGGCACCATGTTCCTCTGAGAAAAACAGGGTGGATCTGTTTGCAGCTCTTGTTAACACCATTTCTCTTCAACAGAAATCCCTGAAGCATCGTTAGGGCCCGGCAAGTAACTTTATTGCAGCTCTTGTTCACATCCACTGTGGTAAATTTCTATGCAACTTTGCCCAGTGTCCACCCTTAAACATCTGTAATGCAATTTTTAGATTCATTCTGTTCCATCCATCTGTAATGCAATTTTGACATCGTGGATGGTATCTAGCAATGTAACCCCATTCCATGTGGCCTCCACATCATCTAGTTAGTGAGACAAGAGGTGCAGAAGCATAACAATAGAAAAGCCCAGCCAATCTCCTACACTGCACTACTCTACAGCATGTCATGTCAGTATACAACCCCAACATGCAACATGCAGTAGCCCAGGGGGGCTGTCTGTCACATGGCCACCCTAAGCAAATGTGTGCAGAGAACACACTTCCAGGCTAATCAATCATGCATGCCCATATCATTTGCTTTGCTTAATCTTTCTCATTTTAGCCTACTAATCAATACCGCTTCTCGTGTGATGACACAGCTAAGATCTAATCCTCACGCTTAAACAATCAATCAATCAAGCAAGTTGGGCTGAAGAGATCTAAACTACTGGCCTGGTACTTGTAGCAGTGTTCAATTTTTTCGCTTTGACCCCAACCGCACGCACCTAATCAAGATTCTTGCACTTGGTTATAGCCACTAACCAGAACATGCACTGTGATGTTATTCTATCTCCCACATGTGGTGTTAACTAGTAACTAGTGCTGATGCCAGCTTGGCAGACACTTCCCATTGGCCCTGGGCATCATGTTGCCACAATTATATGCTCATGTTACTAGTTAATCTCTTGTCTGTGTATTTTTTGCTGTCAGAAGGGATCTCGATAGGTTGCAACTGGGAGTACAATATGCGCCCGAACTGATCGCCTGGTGCGAAAATCGACGACCAAGATCCACTTCAGCTTGGTACTGACCTGTGGGAGATCTGTGGTGGGAAGCGGCACGTGTCTGTTCCCTGAGCATCGGTTCATTTATGATGTTCGATCCTGGCCGTCGGTTGCCTGCCGGGACGGCCGATTCTTTTCGCTTGGCTTGGTAGGGAACCCCTTGGTCCCTATCTATAAAGGCCATACATACAGATACAGGGGAGTAAGCTATTTGGAGCTGTACTTGCTAGCTAATTAGCTTCAGACATCTCATCAGCTGATATATATCATCTGTCTTTCTGAGGAGGAAGGAGAAATGGGGCACATTGCTGATCCTGCGGGCGCCGTAGTCGTGGGCTGCAAAGTGCTGCCCATCTTCAACGAGAATGGCATTGTGGATGGCGCGGTGAAGAAGATCGTGCACAGGATCGACGGGAAGAAGGCGGTCGCCCGGGTGAAGGAGCTCCTCAAGTGGGCTGCGCATGCCAGGCCGTACGGCAGCAGCAACGGCGTCAGCGGGAAGAAATGGAAGGTATTAATCACTAGTACTTGGTTTCTTTAGCTAGTGATGATGGTCGCAAGAGGACATCTTGGTTTGAACTTGTGTCGATCCAGATGGGAAATTTCTTATAATAATCTGATGGATCTTCTTTGTGCGAGCAGCAGTTTCTGAGCTTCCAGGGAAGGGATGGTGGTGGTGCTGCAGCGCCGGTATCAAAGTGTGACGACGACGCGAGCTCCGGGTCCGGGTCCGGGTCCGGTGGCAAGCTGAGCTTCAAGTGGGAGGCGGGCAGCTGCTCGTCGGCTTCGTCGGTGCTGTACTCGCCGCTGTCGTTCGCGTCGGCGCCGGCCGGGAGGACGGAGCAGCAGACGCCGTCACGGGGGAACGGGAACTACAACTACAGCTACAATGGGTACGCGTCGCGGCTGTCGTCGGTGAGCCAGAAGAGCACGTCGTCGGAGGCGTGCCGGATGGCGCAGTGGATCACCACCGATTCAGACTGTGAGTAGCTACAATCTGTCTATGAAATATATTAACATGATGTGTAATTAGTGACAGTATTCCGTGCATTAGCGTGATTAATGACGCGTGGTTGGCTTGTTAATTTTGTTGCAGTTGTGGTGCTGGAGCTGTAAGTGAAAAATGATACGCATTGCTGAAGATGGTGGAGGCAAGATTTGAGAAAGTGGTGATGACTCATCAAGCTAGCAAGCTGGCTAGTATTGTTAATTACTCTAGTTAGTTAGGGAGGGAGCTAAATAGTAGCAGATGCATGTGCTGCTATCTATTCTAGACTGATGAGGAGCCTGATGCATGATCAAGGAGAAGAGAAGCAATTAATCAAGGAGGATGATGCATGATGGAGCAGCAAAGCTAAGCAAGCAATGATGGAGTTATCAAATTAAGTCAAAGTGTATATACATTAGCTAGTGTATATGCGTGTCTTTTTTGATTGATAAATAATAAGGTGTACACGCGTTACGCGATTTTTTGTTTTGTTCCTTTTTGAGATAAAGAGATGATTACATGGTTTATTGCAACAGGCATAATGACTGGTAGCAACGGTCTAGCACTTTCTTTACGGCCCTGTTGCACCGGGTTTCGACTGTTTTCCTTCTGTTAGCAGAAGGGCCCGTGCGTTTGCGACAGGAGAAAAATATATCATAATCTCCAACGTCCATGACCCCGTTTTGCTGCTTCACCGAGATATATTATCAAAATAAATTTCGTGAAATCATGAACAATGTTTTAAACTTGTGCACATATTTGAAATTGTGAGCAATTTTCTAAAATCAAGAACATTTTTTGAATTCATAAACATTTTATAGTATTTGCAAAAAACAGTTATGAACATTTTTTGAATAAGCAAACATTTTTTTACAAAGCTGCAAACATTTTTTGAATCCACAAACATTTTATGATTTATTAAACATTTTATTTTAAATTTTTTTTTATTTTTTGGAACTTTTTTTGAAGTCTCAAATTATTTGAAGTAGAAAAAAAGAAAAAAAAGAAAAAAGAAGGAAAATTAAAAAACAGGCCGCCCGGACATGGGCCGACCCAAACGGGTGTGCTGCGTCTTTTTCCAGCACGCAGAGCGTAGTATAGGAGGTCCCTACTGCATGGGCTGGCCCGGGCGGAGGATTTCCCTGTATGAAACGTTTTTTTATCACTTGTAGGTAATATTGGTGGGTAATATTTTGTAACTTCGGCGACAATTTCCGTGACGTACCGTCAGAAGCAATAGCCCATTTATTATTAGATATAGATTAACTAATGTAAGAATTGTTCTTAATTAATAGATGAGCTAGTATTTCTCCAGTGGGTAAATGGAGGCAGCATGTGGCAGGTGCATCACCAGATTAGCAATGTTATCAAAGCTGCTATCCAACAAACTAAGAGAGGGAGGGACTACTCCAATGTGGCCACGTGTGTCTCTCGCTCTTTTGCTAGTAACTCCAATGCGGATCATCGAATGGACATCACCAAATAAATATTCATGGACGTGTCCTCGGAGAGGGATAAGGATGGGCGTCATCCAACCGCAGACACCAAATGTTCACTTTCGGTTTTTTTATACCCGGATTACTCAAATCAATTAGCACAATTCTTAAGCAATCAAAAGACAAATATTTCAATCAACAATAATTCAAATAAAAATATTGCAATCCAAACATGAAATTTTGAAATAAAATTGTTCAATAGTTCAATTTTGAGTTCATCTTAGCATGCACATGTTCTAGTTCTCCATTTGAAACGCCCAAAGAAGCTCAACCAGATCATTCCGAAGTTGCTTGTGAGTGCCCCGATGTCCAATTTGATGATGCATTTGGATAAAATCCTCAAATGTCGCTAGATTCTGCCATGAAAGCTTGATAGGATCACCCACGTTTTGAAAATCTAGACCATGCCGAACTCCAGCATCCCCATCCTCCACAATCATGATGTGCATGATCACATAAGCTGTCATCATCTCTCACGATGTCTCCGGAAACTATTTCCTACGCACACGCAAGATCATGGTGATGCATAACAACGAGAGGGGAGAGTGTTGTCCATGTACCCTCGTAGACCAAAAGCGGAAGCGTTAGCACAACGCGGTTGATGTAGTTGAACGTCTTCACGATCCAAGTACTGAACGCACGGCACCTCCGAGTTCAGCACACGTTCAACTTGATGACGTCCCGCGAACTCCGATCCAGCAGAGCTTCACGGGAGAGTTCCGTCAGCACGACGGCGTGGTGACAGTGATGATGTTGCTGCCGACGCAGGGCTTCGCCTAAGCACCGCTACGATATGACCGAGGTGGAATATGGTGGAGGGGGGCACCGCACACGGCTGGGAGAGATCAACTGATCAACTTGTGTGTCTAGAGGTGCCCCCCTGCCCCTGTATATAAAGGAGCAAGGGGGGAGGCCGGCCGGCCCTCTATGGGCGCGCCAGCAGGAGGAGTCCTCCTCCTAGTAGGAGTAGTACTCCCCTTTCCTACTCCTACTAGGAGGAGGAAAGGAAGGAGGAGAAGGAGAAGGAGGAAAAGGAGGAAAGGGGGGCCGACCCCCTAGTCCAATTCAGTTTGGGCTAGGGGGGCCGCGCGCCCTGCCTCCTCTCTTCCACCACTTGGCCCATGAGGCCCATTACTTCTTCATCGTATTCCCGTAACTCCCCGGTAGCCCCGAAAATACCCGAATCACTCGGAACCTTTCCGATGTCCGAATATAGTCGTCCAATATATCGATCTTTATGTCTCGACCATTTCGAGACTCCTCGTAATGTCCCCGATCTCAACCGGGACACCGAACTACCTTCGGTACATCAAATCACATAAACTCATAATACAATCGTCACCGAAACTTTAAGCGTGCGGACCCTACGGGTTCGAGAACTATGTAGACATGACCGAGACATGTCTCCGGTCAATAACCAATAGCGGAACCTGGATGCTCATATTGGCTCCCTCATATTCTACGAAGATCTTTATCGGTCAGACCGCATAACAACATACGTTGTTCCCTTTGTCATCGGTATGTTACTTGCCCGAGATTCGATCGTCGGTATCTCAATACGTAGTTCAATCTCGTTGCCGGCAAGTCTCTTTACTCGTTCCGTAATACATCATCTTACAACTAACATATTAGTTCTAATGCTTGCAAGGCTTATGTGATGTGCATTACCGAGAGGGTCCAGAGATACCTCTCCGACAATCAGAGTGACAAATCCTAATCTCGAAATACGCCAACCCAACATGTACCTTTGGAGACACCTGTAGTGCTCCTTTATAATCACCCAGTTACGTTGTGACATTTGGTAGCACCCAAAGTGTTCCTCCGGCAAACGGGAGTTGCATAATCTCATAGTCATAGGAACATGTACAAGTTATAAAGAAAGCAATAGCAACAAACTGAACGATCAAGTGCTAAGCTAATGGAATGGGTCAAGTCAATCACATCATTCTCCTAATGATGTGATCCCGTTAATCAAATGACAACTCATGTCTATGGCTAGGAAACATAACCATCTTCGATTAATGAGCTAGTCAAGTAGAGGCATACTAATAACACTCTATTTGTCTATGTATTCACACATGTATTATGTTTCCGGTTAATACAATTCTAGCATGAATAATAAACATTTATCATGATATAAGGAAATAAATAATAACTTTATTATTGCCTCTAGGGCATATTTCCTTCAGTCTCCCACTTGCACTAGAGTCACTAATCTAGATTACACAGTAATCATTCTAACACCCATGGAGCCTTGGTGCTGATCATGTTTTGCTCGTGGAAGAGGCTTAGTCAGCGGGTCTACAACATTCAGATCCGTATGTATCTTGCAAATTTCTATGTCTCTCACTTGGACTAAATCTTGAATAGAATTGAAGCTTCTCTTGATGTGCTTGGTTCTCTTGTGAAATCTGGATTCCTTCGCCAAGGCAACTGCACCAGTATTGTCACAAAAGATTTTCATTGGACCCGATGCACTAGGTATGACGCCTAGATCGGATATGAACTCCTTCATCCAGACTCCTTCATTTGCTGCTTCTGAAGCAGCTATGTACTCCGCTTCACATGTAGATCTCGCCACGACGCTTTGTTTAGAACTGCACCAACTGACAGCTCCACCGTTCAATATAAACACATATCCGGTTTCGATTTAGAATCGTCCGGATCAGTGTCAAAGCTTGCATCAACGTAACCATTTACGATGAGCTCTTTGTCACCTCCATATATGAGAAACATATCCTTAGTCCTTTTCAGGTACTTCAGGATGTTCTTGACCGCTGTCCAGTGATCCACTCCAGGATTACTTTGGTACCTCCCTGCTAGACTTATAGCAAGACACACATCAGGTCTGGTACACAACATTGCATACATGATAGAGCCTATGGCTGAAGCATAGGGAACATCTTTCATTTTCTCTCTATCTTCTGCGGTGGTCGGACATTGAGTCTTACTCAACTTCACACCTTGTAACATAGGCAAGAACCCTTTCTTTGCCTGATCCATTTTGAACTTCTTCAAAACTTTGTCAAGGTATGTGCTTTGTGAAAGTCCAATTAAGCGTCTTGATCTATCTCTACAGATCTTAATGCCCAATATGTAAGCAGCTTCACCGAGGTCTTTCATTGAAAAACTCTTATTCAAATATCCCTTTATGCTATCCACAAATTCTATATCATTTCCAATCAATAATATGTCATCCACATATAATATCAGAAGTGCTACAGAGCTCCCACCCACTTTCTTGTAAATACAAGCTTCTCCAAAAGTCTGTACAAAATGCTTTGATCACACTATCAAAGCGTTTATTCCTGTTGGAAATATGCCCTAGAGGCAATAATAAAAGTATTATTATATTTCTATGTTCATGATAATTGTCTTTTATTCATGCTATAACTGTATTATCCGGAAATCGTAATACACGTGTGAATACAAAGACCATAATATGTCCCTAGTAAGCCTCTAGTTGACTAGCTCGTTGTGATCAACAGATAGTCATGGTTTCCTGGCTATGGACATTGGATGTCGTTGATGACGGGATCACATCATTAGAAGAATGATGTGATGGACAAGACCCAATCCTAAGCATAGCACAAAGATCGTGTAGTTCGTTTGCTAGAGCTTTGCCAATGTCA